TCACCCGCAGATATCGCTGTGGGTGCTCCCTTTGATGGGGATGGGAAAGTCTTTATCTACCACGGGAGCAGTCTGGGGGTTGTCATCAAACCTTCCCAGGTGAGGGGGTTTGTTGGGATGAGGGAGTGGGTTTGAGTAGAGTAAGGAGCATAGCACCAGAGGGCAGGGGAGGAGGCAAAGACCTGGGAGTGATGGTGGTGGTGATGGTGGTGGTAGGGGGAGCTGATAGTCAGGTCCTGCAGGTGCTGGAGGGCGAGGCCGTGAGCATAAAGAGCTTTGGCTACTCTCTGTCTGGTGGCCTGGATGTGGATGGAAACCATTACCCCGACCTGCTGGTGGGCTCCCTGACTGACACTGCTGTGCTCTTCAGGTGAACCCCTTCCTCTCCTTTGCTTTCTCCTTCCCTGAGGCCAGAAACCCCACTCTAGAGTCAAATCTGATGCTCAAGAGTCTGCCCACCTCCTTAGTTTCCAAGCCTATGTTCTCAACTCCCTATTTCTTATGCCCTCAACTCCCCATTTCCTAGGGCCAGACCCGTCCTCCACGTCTCTTATGAGGTCTTCATTGCTCCACGAACTATCGACCTAGAACAGCCCAACTGTGCTGGTGGCCACTCGGTCTGGTGAGGCGCGATTCAAGTCGGGAAGGAGGCTGGGTGGGGGCCTCCAGCCCTCCCGCTCCCTTCTCCATTTCTCTGCCCAGTTTGGAGCTGGTGGCTGGGGCAGGACTGGGCAGGGTATGGGTGTGGTTTTGGCCCATCAGCCTTGCCTGGCTCAGGAGCTAACCTTTGCCCCGACAGTGTGGACCTAAGGGTCTGTTTCAGCTACGTTGCAGCCCCCAGCAGCTACAGTCCTATTGTGGGTGAGTGAAGTCCCCCTCCCTCTCACCTCCCACCACATTGGCTTTGGGGGAATTCACTCCAAAGTGGAGAGAAGGGGCTCCTGGGAACAGGGTCAGATTGAAGAAGTTCCCCAGCTCACTGGCTCCTCTCTTCTCCCCAAAATGCCACAGCCCTGGATTACGTGCTAGATGGGGATACAGACCGCAGGCTTCGGGGCCAGGTCCCCCGTGTGACCTTCCTGAGTCGTGGCCCAGATGACCCTAAGCACCAGGCCTCGGGCACCGTGTGGCTGAAGCACCAGCATGACCGAGTCTGCGGAGACACCATGTTCCAGTTACAGGTGGACACTGACACCCTTGGCCTCTGAGGGTCATTTTCATTGCATGATCTCTTCCTTGATTCCTTTTATCTTCTTTCCTAACACACTCATACCTCATTCTAATATCTTGACTTTTGGGGAAGCCTCCCTATGGGCTGACCTCCTTCTCACCTGGTGCCTTCTTGTGTCTCCTGTCAAGTTCT